CCACTGAAGCGGAGTATATTGCCCTAACTGAAGCTGTGAAGGAAGCATTGTGGCTTGAAGGTTTTGCAAAGGAGCTAAAACTTCAAGGTCGAGTTATCACTGTTAAATGTGATAGTCAAAGTGCAATACACCTGTCGAAGAATTCAGCCTATCATGAGCGAACCAAGCACATTGATGTGAGGTTGCATTTTGTTAGAGGGGTAATCGAGCGTGGAGAAGTCCAAGTGCTGAAGGTTTCGACAAATCATAATGCTGCTGATATGATCACCAAGACGTTGCCCAGTTGTAAGTTTTTCCACTGTATGCAGTTAATAAAGCTGCATGAAGAAAGCTAGTTTCTTGATGTTATAGAGTTAGATCCAAGGTGGAGATTTGTGAGATGTGGGATGGAACTCTAGTATGGTCGAAGTCAGTTCGCGAGTAATGCGTGTTGTAGTCGAAGTTTGTTCTAACATGTATTAGTCAATATTGCTAGGGTTGTTAGCATGTTGAATTGGGTCTTGCTTGTAAACCCAACTGTTTAAGTTAGCTTGTACCCTAAATTAGCTTGTAATGGATAATTGTTAAAAAGCTCATTAGGTTAGTGTGCTATTTTTCTTATAAATAGGATGTTAGTTTCTCAATCTTGAAATAAGGAAAAATTGTAAGATAAAATCCTAATTTCAAGAGAGAGAGAGAGGTTATTTTGTTATTCATGTATACTTGTAATCTTGTTCTAAGATAAAGGAAAGAATAGCAGTTTAATAACCAATCCTTGTTGTTTTCTTCTTTATTAAACATAACCCTTGTGTGTTTCTTGATCATTAAGAAACAATTTATACTTAGCTTAAAGGTATCTGATTCACAACAATCACAAATAACATACCACCATAATACAACATAGAACCACCATTTTTGAAACACTCCTCACCACCACCGCAAACAGTGTGCGGCCAACCCCAACAACCACCATCATCAACTGCCGGGCCATAAGAAAAGATAGGTAAGAAAGAGTTGTGTGGTTTCTATTTTAGTTGATGTTGTTAAAATGATTTTGGAGAGTTTTTTATTTTATTTTAAATTTAAGATGATGAAAATGAACAATAGTTGCGCAATTTCTTTGTAAACGAGGAAAAAGAGGAAGTCATATTACTTTCCACTTTTTCAGTTTTATACGCCATGTATTTGATAAAATTATGATATGGATTCTCATAAACATTAGTTTTTCTTAAAAATATTATTGTTTCTTTCCTTTATTCATGAATGTTTTTAAACATTTTATTTATTTATTTTATTTATTCTGCATAAATTTATTATTTTAGGAATATTGACCCAACAGTTTTACCGTGTGAGACGAAGAATCGTCTAAGATTCTTTTTCTTATATTTTTTTTTGTTTTTTTACGGTACTCATATTCAATTTTTTATTTTAAATTTTTTATTTATTATTATGATTGTGACAATAATTTGTTCTAATTATTTTTATTTTTTTTTGAAACTTGTAGGCAAACAACAACATAATTCTCCACCAACCTAAAGAGTATAAAAGTGCAAGGTACAATTAATGAGATTTGTAGATCACAACATTAGTAATAAGTAGAGGTGAAATGACTATTCTTCATGATTTTATTTTAGACTATCTTACTTAATAATGATATAATTGTTGATAATGATATATAATAACTATCTTACTTTCATTTTTGTTGTTTTTATTTGTAATTAAGAATTATATCTTTTTTTATTATTTCAATTTTACGGTATTTTATTATCAATTTTACGGTAGTTTTTTATTTCCTTAATATGTTTAATTATTTCAATTTTATAACATAAATATTAAATATATAATTTTTTTATTATGTTTTAAAAGATATAAGATATTTGTCAAATTAATTAAACGAACTAGATGACTCAGTTTAAGTTTGTTGAAAATTATAATCATCATATTTATATTTATTTAATGCATTAATTTTTTAAATTATAAGAATAAAAAATTTAATTATTATATTTAAGATTATTTAAGGTATTAATTATTAAGATTATAAAGATGATATATAAGTTTGAAGTAATCACAAAAGATTTATGAAATTCTATTAATTACATGCCATTTATGTGAGGAAAAATGCATATATGCCCTTATTTATATTTTTTTTTGATAGTTAAATACTTATGTGAGGGGGTGTGTTACTTTACATTTTGTAGGATACAAATCCTGTATTGAGGCAAATGGTTTGTTTCAAAAAAAAAAAAATTAACAAATTAAAATTTACTTTTGCCATAAAATACATTTGGTGAAAATTTTAAGTCTCAAACTCTGTTAGTAAATATTACTTGCACTTGATATTAGTGTGATTTATTCGTTTGCAATATCAGATATTATTCGTTTGGAGTAATGAAACATATTGCTATCTATTACAAGATATCAATCACAATATTAGTAAGTATTTATTATATTTTAATTACTAGTACTAAATATATTTTAATTTTACAAGAAAGTAACCATGAATAATGTATTTATAATTGTAAATGTTATTTTTATTTCAATATACGAAATTAAAAAAAAATATATTTACTGCGTATTTATAATTATTATTTATATATAGCAAATAAAAAATTTATTAAATAATGATAAGGGTAATGTTAACGTGTGCCATAAGGCACATGTTAAAAAATTCATAAATAAAAAATTTGTATTGAAAAAAATAATAAAAAAGTTAATTATAAACTTTTAATAAAAACAATACACAAGTTCCAAGAAAACATTTCTACATTTAATTCTTAATTCTTAATATGTGTCCATAGGACACAAGTTAACATTACCCTAATAATAAATATATTTTTAAGTATCATAAATTTTTTAAATATTTATAAATTGTAACTAAAAAATACCTGCATTTTAAATTGTTGTATTTTTATTATTAAAATAAAGAAATTAAATCAGGTTAAATGCATATTAGTGAAAAATAAATGAATATGATACTAATTAATGTATAATTATAATAATGAGAAATAGAAAACTTATTTTTAAATTTAATTATAAAGAGGAAAGAGACTCAACAAAATAAAATTATTGTCTAAACATTTTATAAAATTAATTGTAGACTATTTTTAATTATATATGACTAAGTCTACACTTATATTATATAAATTTGAAATTTTTTATTTTTAAAATATATTTAATCAATTTTATTTATTTATTATCACTAAAAATACAAATTTATTTATTTTCTTATTACCATAAAATTAATAATTTATTATATCAAATTGAATTATATTTAACGTTTGTACATATAATTTATTTTCTATCTTAAGGATCATTATCATCATAATACTTTTTTATTTTAATATTTAATTGACATTTATCTTTATTTGTAAAACAAAATTCTTATTTTCATATATTAAAATTTTAAAATTTTAATCTCTATTTTACAATTTTTTTCCGTTTTGTATATTTATTTAATATAGTTAAATTTAGATTATCACTGTTCATTTTGTATATAATTAAATCAGGTTAAATTTATAAGCGTGTTTATATAAAATTTATACTATACTAAATAAATTTATCCGTACGATACACAAGTATTTTATTAATTATTCTTATATTATATAAGATTCTTCTAAACCAAAAATAATCCGCACAGAGATATTCTTAATTATTCTCCTATAATATTGTATAGGATTCTTCTAAAACAAAGGTGCCTGCATCCATATTCAACTCTGATTTCAACATAGTCCTTTTGTACTAGAGTCTAGAGTCTATGATCAATTGAAAGGACGAAACAAACTGCAGTCTTACTCTTACCCGTGGCCTGTATCATTTAACATTGTTACGCATTTCAATTATAACTTTTTCTACCACCATTAAACAACTAGCAACCCAAGACCAGCACCCCAATAAAAGTGCAGCATTTTAAAATCCAAAAAGAAAACAAAGCCTTCAATTATTCTTGGACATTGGGGATGCTATTGAATACTATAAAACGGTTGCACAACATGCAAGTAACTACAGTCGCCAATATTAAATACCACCGTTTAACAAAATTAAATTCAAAATTTTAATATCTTATACTAAAAACAATTAATCAATAAAAATTGAGCTTTCTTTCACATATGTGGTTGTTACTGTTTGGTTACTGTGTGTGGGTGTTAATTGTTAAAAAACACTTAATGTTAGTATTTTATTTTTTAGTTAATTGAGTTTTGAAATTCTAATATTTGAAATTTGAGAAAAATACTTATAAATATGAGTAGAATTATCTAATATAGTTTTTAATACGGTAGAATGCACAATATTACCGCCACAGTTAAAATTGTCTCTGAGTGCTATTTAAAACCATGTAATAGAGATTTCTCTAAATAAGAAATGTGAACTGATAAAAAGCAGTAACTTTATCTGGCAGCAGTATAATATTTATTGATCACTTTTCTCTATTCCCATGGGCGAAAATCTGCCTTTCCCTTTACCATCTCTCATTTAGCTTGTGATTACGATCTCGAATCTTTCGTTTTCATCTTTTCTTTATTTTTCTTCTTTAACGTGTCTTTCTTTCTCTTTTTTTACTTCCTTCTTCATCTAACTATTCTGTCACAGTATCAATGTGAATGTTTGATCACGATTGTGATAAAAAGAACTACACATCCCCACTTCTCTTTTTAGAAAACCAAGTACGTACCCTACTTGATCGCTTTTTTAAATCACTTAGCTACTGTGCTTTTTTATTGTATTCATGGTCTCCCAAAACATTCTACCATGTCAGTAACGTGTACTATTTCATCTTTTTCATGTATTTAATAACTTTATTTTGTAATACTACAAAACTGAAAATTAACTTTAGAATGAAAAATTACACAGTAAATCAGGGTAAGGTAACCACACAAAACAAAACTATGAATTATTACTATTATTTTAATTCATGCCTAACAAGAACAACACTGAAGAAATTAACAAAATAACTATTTAATCTGTAAAGTTAATAGTTAATTAATGAAATAGTTATTATTCTACTAATTAAAATTAGAGTTACATTATTGAATGGAACGATTACTACCAACATGGGTAGTTTCAAACACAGGCAAATCCTCAGAAATGTAATACCGATCATTTCCCATTGAAACTAAGTGATCAAGCTCGAAAAGATCTGAACTTGAACTACTTGCCACGTCATCATCATCTTTTTCATTTTTTCTCATAGAAAAATCTCTCAAAAGCTTCCGATTAAGATGAAAGTCTCTTAAAACTTCTTCCACTCTTTCGTTCATATTCAAAGCGTCTTGTTCTTTCTTCTTACTCACTGATCGTCCAATTTTCCATGCCGTTGGAACAGACAATGCCGTTAGATTTGAACCTTCTCCTCCATGCAAACATTTGTTACCGCAAACTCGATTATCTTCATCTACAATTACACTTACTGGACAAAAACGCACCGTTCTTTTAGCACCATTACGCGGTTTATCTCTTGATGTAGATGTGTTTTTACTCAAACAAGAACGTGAAAACGATGAAGCTGATGAGCAATTTGAAGTTTGTTCCGATTTACCTTTTCTCACTGCATTCACATCTTCGTAAGAGGAAGCAGACGATTTTGATTTCTTCGTGTTTACGAATAGAGAGTTGAGAAAACTTGTGAGTTTTCCACCGGGTGAGATTGGTTGTTTCACCTTTTTGAGATTGTTGTAAAGCTTCACCGCTCTTGATTTCGATTTTATGAAGACATCTTCATCTCTCGCGATGCTTCTCTCGGGAGGAACAGATGTTTTCACCGGTTTAGGCCTGGAATGAGCGAAACACGGATTTCCTGATTTTGCTCTGTAGATTGATTCTGTATCGGAGGAAGATGATAATAATCCAGAACTTGAATCCGAAGAGCTTGAAGCGGAACTGAAGAACATAACATCTTGATCACGATCATGATGCAATTTTCTCTCGATTTGTGTTCCAATTCTCAGGCGAAGATTTGGTTCTAACTCATCTTCATCAAATCTATTGCATTTAGCATTGATTTTGGTCATTTTGTTAACTGTTGTTTCTGTGTAGAATTTCTGATCGGAACTTTTTCTCTCTTCTTCGTCGATGGAACGGTAAATCTTGTCGAGAATAATGGAAGAGAAAGAGGGGGTTTCAATTTCAGCTTGGTTGTGAAACTGAAACCGTTTTTCTCTACGCGTGTTCTCAAACTTATACATGTTTAATAAAACAGAACTGTGAAATGAAATGATGAAATAAGAAACAGATAAAAAAAGAAGGTATTATTATTGGGTTGGGAGTGGGGTAGAGATTTTCAGTTAGATAAAATAATAGTAATGATGATAGAGAAGGTTTTGTTTGAGAATAGGTGAAGAAAACGTGAAGAGAGTAATTGATTCGTTGTGTAAAGAGAAATAAAAATGAGAAAAGGAGTAATGAGATGAAAGTAGCACGCTTTGGAGTTTAGAAGAAGAATGAATGGGAAAGGAACAGAGTAGAGGTTTTTAAAGGTGTTATCGATCACGCGCGTGCATCTCTGTCTTCTTCTTTCAATGGGCGTAAGACTTGCATATGCGACGTGGCATTCTTTTCGTAATAGAATTTAAAGGGTTTGATTATCAATAAAAACTATATTTAAAATTAAAGAGAAGATAAAGAACTAGTATATGATAAAAAAAGAATAAAAAAAACCATTGCTCAATAGTGAATAGTACGCTCTCCATTTTAAAATCACCAGTCGTTTTAGAAGAGAAATTTTGTTTTAAAATAACTGGTATTTTCAATTTTTAATATAGTAATATTTTTTTTAATTGTGTTATATAATTATTACTCTTTATATTATTTTCAATAAATTAATAAAACTAATTTAATAAAAATGCATTATCTTATCACAATATAATTTCATTCTTTAATTTGTGAGAAAAATTTTAAACGACATTCATTTTGAAACGGATTACAGTGGTGAAAATAAAAGATAAAATAATTGTTTTGATTTTTTTATAAATAATTTTTAAGTAAAATAAATTTATAAAATCTTTTAATATAAATTTGTAATAAAAATTTAATTTGAATAATTATTTTTAAAATTGTTATTTTAAATAATTTATTATTTTATTGAAAAAAATTTTGAATATTAAAATTTTAAAAATCACTAAATTTTGAAGCTATTTTAAAAAAAATATATTATTATTTTTTTGAAATACAATTTTTTTGAAGAAATAACAATTTCGACTATATTTTAATTTTGATAATGTTTATTAATGTCAAAATTAATTTTTTAATTTAGAAAAGACAAATATAAAAAAATTTGTAATACTTTAAAAAAATAATTTTATAAAATTCATTTTTAAAAATACAAAAAAATCCATTTTTTAAAGGCAAAACAAACATGTCCATAAATATATTTAAAAAATCTGTTTTAATTTATTATTAACAAAATAATATCTGAAAATTATTATACGCAAATCTTTTTTTGACTGTCAAAATATTTTTAAACTTTATTCTTCATTTGACGGTTTATTTACAGTTTGCCTTTAATTGCATTGGTTGTTTTAATTTATTTTTCTAGTATTTTTAATTTAGTTTATTCAAAATTTATTAAATTTACATATGTATTTAACTTCATGTTTTCATTTTCCGTCATATAATTTTATTTTCTATTTTTTTAAACTTTGTTTTTATAACATTATTTCCCTTATATTTCCTTCATAAATAAAACAAAGTATAAAAAAGATAAAATATGAATTATTTTAGTTTATTTTTCTTATTAATTAAAAGTTAATTTTTTCATTTTTCATTAATCATAAAAATATAAATTATTAATCACATATTTTATTATTTCCCTTATTCTAATTATTCTACTATATTTTATATTTGTCAAAATTTGGTTAATGTTAGATGATTTATTAGTAGTTAATAAAATAGTAAATTTAATTAATAAATTATAAGTAAAATATGTGGTTAACAATCTATAATTTTTTTTGTTAATGTAATCATTTTGTTTACTATAATGTAAATATAAATTATTAATCACATATTTTACTATAGTTCATTAACCAAGTTTACTATTTCATTAATCAATAAAATTATTAATCACATATTTTATTATTTTTCTATCCTAATTATTCTACATATTTTTTTATTTATTTTTCTTATTAATTAAGAGTACAAATATTATATGATGAACAGTGTTTTTATTTTTTTATAAATAAAAAAATAAGAATTATAAAAAATATTTTTATTTTTGAAGTTAATTTTATAATATAAATATAAAGTTTGTGATTAATTAATTTTACTATTGTATTAACCATAAAAATATAAATTATTGATCACATATTTTTCTATAATTCATTAACCAAGTTTATTTATTTCATATTTTAATGTCAAAACTTGGTTGATATTAAGTAATTTATTAATAGTTAATAAATTAGTAAATTTAATTAATGAATTATAAATAAAATATATGGTTAATAATTTATATTTTATTTTTTAATATAATAATAAAGTTGATTGATCACAAATTTTATGTTTATATTATAAAAATAATTTTAAAAATAAAAATATTTTTTATAAATATTTTTTTTATTTATTAAAATATAAAAATACTTAACATTATTCTTTTGTGAACTAGATAGGCATTCAAATTTCAGCAGTCATCAAAATTATTATTAGTGTATCTTTTGTTTCCTTGTTTCTCATTGTTAATGAGCCTATAAATAAAATTTAAAGATGTTCAAATATAGTAATTTGGTAATTAATCTTATTGTTGGTATGCATTTTGGAATAAAGAAAATGGTCAATCAATCAATAACGTGTTGTTTATAGTCATTTTTGGTAAATTAAATAATTAATTTTTATTTATTTATAAGATTAAATTCAAAAAATAATATAAGACATATTGTGCAAATGATTGAAGAAAATATATTTGTCCTTTGAATATTGACGTTTGAATGTCAAAAGTTTGAATATAAACTCTAACTAAAATAATTCAAAATTGTTTTGAAAATAAAAAATAAACTAAGAACCTAAAAGATCATTCAAGTAGATGTTTTGAATTTAAAGATTAATAGAAAAGAATGCAAATTCATATATCTTCTCACAAACGGTTCTCTTTTCTCTTTGTGGCTTGGATACTTAAGTTCTATAAAAAATGTTTATGAATTTTTATGATCCTTGATGACTAAACTCGTCTTATATACTATTACAATGTTAACCGTCGATAGCAGTTATTTTTGCAGAATTCGACACGTACTCCTTTACGTGAAGTTCAACCTTCTAGTTTATTTTCAAGTTGTGTTAGTTGATAACACCGCTCAATATTTCGTGTTTTCCTTCATGGATGGCTTCTCTGGGTATAACCAAATCAAAATGGCCCCAAAGAACATGGAGAAAACTACTTTTATCACACCGTGGGGGACCTTTTGCTACAAAGTTATGCCTTTTGGATTGAAAAATGCAGGGGCAACTTATCAGCGAACAATGGTGACTCTCTTTCATAATATGATTCATCATGAGATTGAAGTATATGTTGACGATATGATTGCAAAGTCACAGAAGGAGGAAGAGCATCTGGTCAATCTTCTGAAATTATTTGAAAGGTTAAGGAAGTTCAAGCTGAGGTTGAATCCTAACAAATGCACCTTCGGGGTGAGATCGAGGAAGCTGTTGGGTTTCATTGTCAATGAAAGAGGAATTGAGGTGGATCCTGCCAAAATAAAAGTTATACAAGAAATGCCTGAGCAGAGAACAGAGAAGGAGGTTCGTGGTTTCCTTGGGAGGTTGAACTATATTGCAAGGTTCATTTCCCACCTTACAACTACTTGTGAGTCAATATTCAAATTGCTGAAAATAGATCAGGCAGTTGTCTGGAATGAGAATTGTCAAAAAGCTTTCGAAAAAATAAAAGAGTATTTACAGGAGCCTCTGATATTAATGCCTCCAGTTGCTGGAAGACCTTTGATTATGTACTTAACGGTTCTGGAGAGCTCGATGTGTTGTGTGTTTGGTCAACACAACAAGACAGGTAGGAAAGAGCATGCTATTTACTACCTGAGTAAAAAATTCACCGATTGCGAGTCAAGGTACTCAATGCTAGAGAAAATATGTTGTGCACTTGCTTGGGCAGCTAAACGCTTAAGGCAGTACATGTTAAACCATACAACCATGTTGATTTTGAAGATGGATCTGATTAAATATGTGTTTGAGAAACAAACGCATTCTGGAAAAATTACTAGATGGCAGATGGTGCTGACAGAGTACGACATTCAGTATGTTTCCCAAAAGGCCATTAAAGGGAGTGTTTTGTCAGAATATCTTGTTGAACAACCAATTGAGGATTATTAACCAATGAGGTTTGAATTTCCTGATGAAGATATAATATTTTTGAAGATGAAGGACTGTGACGAGCCTTTACCTGACAGGGCCCCGAAATTGGGTCGTAGTGGAAATTGATTTTTGATGGTGTTGTTAGCTCATACGGCAGCGGAATCAGGGCAATTATTACAACTCCTCACGATTCTCACATACCGTTTACTGCCCGATTGATGTTTGCATGTACGAATAATGAAGCTGAATATAAAGCATGCATCATGGGTTTAGAGCAGGCTATTGATTTGAGAATCAAGAACCTAGATGTGTATGGTGATTCAACATTAGTCGTCAATCAAATAAAAGGAGAATGGGAGACTCGCCAGGCCAACCTGGTGCCTTATAAGAACAATGCCAGAAGACTACTGCCTTTCTTTGACAGGGTTGAATTTCATAATGTACCGAGGGCTGGAAATCAGATGGCGGACACCTTGACAACGCTCGTATCAATGTATAAAGTGAAGTTTTGGAATGAAGCTCCAACAATCACTATCATGCGCCTTGATAGGTCGGCCTTCGTATTTGCAATTGAAAAAGCGTCAGATGGAAAGCCCTGGTATTTTGACATCAGACATTTCCTCAAGACTCAAGAGTATCCGCCTGGGGCGTCAAGTAAAGATAAGAAAACTCTGAGGAGGCTTTCGGGAAACTTTTATCTAAACAAGGATGATGTGCTATACAAAAAAAAAACTTCGACATGGTTTTTCTGCGTTGTGCGGATGAGCATGAAGCAACCTTGCTGATGGAAGAGGTCCATGAAGGTTCTTTTGGTACTCATGCCAGTGGGCATACAATGTCTAGAAAGCTATTGAGAGTAGGGTATTACTAGATGACCATGGAGTCTGATTGTTTT